TCAACACAATCTTTTGTTAATTCGACGAGAACATGGATGTGGGGATGATCATTGTCGAGCAGTTGGGTGCAAGACTCGTTCTGAGTTGAGTAGGTTACAAATGCAAAATTTGTGTTGAGAGGGAGTTGTGAGATGTCGGGTTCGTTGTTTAGAACAAAAAATTTAAAATTCTTTCGAAATTTTAAAAAAATTCAGGTGACTGCTCATACATTGCTTCAACCGTTCTGCTGGTTAATCAAATTGTTCAAACGTTTTTTTTTCCTGTTTCAGGCAACTCTACATTTTTTATTAATCGAGTATTCATCATCCGCATTGTTTTCATCGCCACTTTCAGCACATTCTTTTTCGGGACATACTGATACTTTTGACCTGTATCTTTTTTTATAATGTTTATCATTTGCAGCTGATGATGAGGAGGAGCAAGAAGATGAAGTCTTTTCACCGGTTTGTTTTTTAACCATTTTTTTTATATTTTGAATAATTGTCGGCCAAACAATCAAATTCTCTTGTCGCCAAGGTCACTGCTTGATAACACTTAAACACGCCATCTTCATTACATACACTTTCATAATATCTGTTTTTTATCAAATAGGAATTCTAGACAAACATGCCAAGCAAGACATTTGAATTTCAAATTAGCAACTGGGCAAAACTTACGAAGCTGAAACAAGGCCGAAAATCTTTGAGCAGACACCAGTTGACCAGAAAAAAAAATACTATGTAAAAAAAACTTAAAAAAGTTTCAAGTCCCCCTGAAAGTACCCTGTAGTAACTAGTATCCAGCCAGTAGTTAAAGTTAAATTTTCATGAAACTCAGCATGTCAGCTGAAGAGCACGTCAAGTGATTTAACTGATTTTGACAAGAAAAACTCTCTATTCTAGTTTGATAACGCTTGCTAATCGCAAGCGTAATTAGCAGCGGAAAAAAACTTAAGATGCGGAAAAAAATCCGAGAATCTTTGAGCAATCACCAGTTGAGACGAAAAAAAAACGATTTTATAAAGGACTAAAAAGTTTTCAGTCCCCTGAAACTACAATGAACAACATTTGCAGCTACCATGAGACTTGCTTGCAGCACAAGAATATCGATATGATTAATTCTATCTATGGATATTCTGGATCTGCATGAATCTCTTTCATTTCCCCCTTATGCGAAAGAAGCTAATTCGTTATTAGGTAGAAGTTACAAGACAGAAAACGCAAATGCTTAACCGTTGAATTAGGTCTTTACGTTGGATATAACTTAACAGATGGCGCCAATTTAATTATGCCCATTTATGACTTGAACTTTCAATAATGTGATTTAGATAAATGAGCGATAAAACTGTTTTAAAATTACTGAGATTATGACCAAATTGAAATAATTGACTTATTGACAAGTTAACACAAACAGTTTGAGACATATGTACCTTCAGTCGTATTCGAAATTCAAATTGAAAAATCAAAAGCATTTCTCTCAATTCCTGTATAGAAAGGGGACCGGATCTACTAAACAAATTAATTGGTTTGTTTGAGGTTTAGAGAGAAACCGATAGCGAAACCTGTCCTCTCTGGTGACATAGAGGACATGTTTATGCAAATAGTCATAAAAGAGGATGATCAAAATGTACTCCGATAGGTAAACAGTATCAGTATACGAGACTAGTCTTCGGAGCTAAATGCTCACCCCGAATAGCCATCTTCGCACTACATCATACAATCATCGAGTTCTGCAACAAAGATCCCAACATACAGCAACTAATTCATAACAGCTTTTGCATGGATGACTTCGTTCACTCCTATGACAATCTACTGCAAACTCAGCAATCAACTTAAGCTTTGAAGGTGGCACTCCGTAAAGGTGGATTCAATTTTAACATTTAGATCGAACTTCAGACGTGATTGATTTACTTCGAAATAGTCCTGGCACCAAAATAGCTAATTATCTTTTTGGGATTCTGAATTACGCCTTGTGGTTTTGATATGATACAAATGCAATTGCCGAAAGCTTTCTTTGGGGTATCTTAAATTTCTTTGAGGTATCTGATACAGCAAAAAGCGCTAATTAGTTGGAACAGCAAAAAGGCGGATAAGAAGTAATCATTAAAAATATTCGAGAAGCTTACAAGGAGACCAAATTCAATTCGTATACAAGCAAAGCAACAGCAAATCACTCAGAGTAGCTTCAAACTTTTAAGATACTTTAAAACTTTTTAATCTGAAAAAAAAATTGGACGCCAACCGGGATTATAAATTCAATTTTTAGATTTGAAACGCCGCATTTTACATTTACGTTTCGCCGCTACTCGCTTTGGTTTGCGAAGGCAGACTACAAGAAGAAGAAGTGATTGTATTTTTAACAAACTAATACAGCTTTAGATGTTGGAAATTATTTTGAATAGAAATGGTAGGAAGTATCTTAATTTCGCGAGAAAAAAGGATATTGCTGACGGTTTTAGAGGAGAGGACTGATTTATTTCATTAGGACAAAACAAGAAGATCTTCCCAAATTGGGTTGATTTGTACCAAAAGATGAAGACAGTTGCTTAAAATTTTAGCAGAAAAATAATAGGGGAACTTGTTGCGCAATATTTGGTCTAACATTTTACCCTATAAATCGAAGAGCTCACCCAAGAATTCAAACAAGAAAATAAAATTTCTTTGATTTTCATTCATTATACTCCATTTATAGAGGTGGCTAAAAACTGATTTTATTTTTATTTATTCTTAGTTCGTCAGCTGGAATGAGAATTGGCCGAAATGACAGGACTAGATGTAAAAACTATTCCTTAATGAGGGCTTAATTTTAGGGGAAAATAAATTTTTCCCCACATTCCTCTTTTCATTCGAATATAAATTTATCTTTATTCCTCAGTTGCAATCCTAATTTGTTCAACGGGTAGACGTCAAGTAGGCACATACTGCGCCTTTTGTCTATCCCCTCCATTTTGTTGATTTAATAATTTAAATAAATTGATGCTTGTATTATCAATTATATGGAGAAATAAATTCTTCTTCTTCTTCTTTTATTTAAGCAGCCAACAGAATTTTAAAAAAAGCCAACGAACTCACTTTTCTAATTTAATGACTTTTTTATGAAAAATTATTGACTTACTTTGAAACGATTTACAACTTTCCAATTTCCAAGAAGAAAAAGAGTAATGAACGCAAGGAAACAGAAAAAAAACTGACTTGTTTTTTGAAAAAGAATTTCAACTTGTGAATTTAAAAAAAAACAAATGCCCTCAAAGCTCTCTGAATTTCAAGAAAACATTTTATGATCGGTGCTTTTTCGATGAAAATAAACTAATATCAGAAAACTAGATCGATATGTAAAATTTTGATTCAGCTGGAAAATCTGAACATTTAAGTCCTTTTTCGAAACTAGAAGTCGATTACGCTTTTCGTAACTTTTACATTTTCGCTGTTCGATAGTGGAGTTTGCCTTCCTTTCAAAAAAAATAAAGTGAACTTACGAATTGTAACAGTGTCAATTAACTCAAAGTATTGAACTTTCCTGAACACTTTCCATTTTCGAATTTCGGAGAAAAAAAATATCACGTTGAAGCAATTCGAATTTCAAGAATCATGATTGCCCATTTCTTGATAAAGATAACCCACCGTAGACAACTGGGTATACAGGGTATATTTTTGAAACTTCACGTCAACTTTTTAAACTACTCCCAAGGACAAAATTATACGCAAATTTGGGTTTTTTTTTGTCCGAATTGCATATTTTCTATAACTATTTTAAATAACATATTCCAGCAATTTGTTTAAAAAAAATTCATGGAAGGAAGCAAATATCCTCAGGTACCCATATAAGTATCCATAATTGGTTTCAAGAACAGGTTATTGCGGGTCTGAAAAATTCCTGTTCTTAACATCTACCGTTACTTTTCCTAACAGCCTTATATTCTAGGAGAGAGCCGAGGTTAGCAAAGTTATCACAGTGAACAGTTATATTCTATTGCTGATAACTTATCACATTCCGTGATTATCTCATTTTACTCTGCTTGCCCGAGAAAAAAATTAACCCCGCTGGAAAAAGTACTCTAGATGAAGAAACCTGGCATGTTAGACCCAGAATAAACTGGCAACTCCTCAAAACTAAATTTTAATACTTTCCTCGAACATTTGCTCAATCATGTAAAAAAAATTTAAACTCATAAAAAATTATCTAAAATGGCTTTAGCAAATGGGCTTTTCACAGAATAAAAATCTACATTGTGAGTGTACAACTCACAAAATTCCGTTCCTTCGTGTGATTTGCACTCTTGTTGTAATTTGCCTGACTTTTAGCAAATTAATTTAAACTGAATTTCAAAAGAAACCGTAAGTCAAACCGTGAAAACCAAAATTGAATAACTTATAAGACTTTTCCTTGTAAAATGAATAAAAGAAAAAAATCTATCGTTTTTGGAGTAAAACTACGTTTTTCACTACTTGACTAAAATTTTTATTTAGAACTACTCGCTCGCTTTACTCGCTCGAAATTAAACTAAGACTAACCGGTTTTTCTCAACTTTTCTATGCCGTTCGAATCAACACTGAGAGGGCTTTATTTTGATATATCTCAACCCAGACCGATGACTACCTGATTTTGCGTGGAAAACAAAAAAAATAAAACACACCCGAATATACATAAATACCCTCCCTATTTTCAATGGTCGGAACAACAACCTTTCAATTGTAACCTTTATTTAATAAACTATATCAGTTATGGGAGAGCGCAATTTGCCTTCGGATCAACCGTACAATATCGCCGCCCTATCAATTCACGAAGAGGTGGTTTAGAAATATGACATTTTAAGAAGCTACTTTGAGTATAAATTAAATTCTAGTTAAAATAATTTAATCAATATTTTTTGTGCCCAGTTGCAAAAAAAGTATTTTATGCTGACTCAACTTTTCAAAAATTAATACACGTTGAGAAGAGATAATCAAGAGAAGGTTACCTCATGAGGGTGAGAGAAACTGTACGGTTGATATACACCATGTCAATGTATATATGAGCCTACTTTGTGGGCGTGAAGCAGGGGGCGTGGTTGGATGGGGCGGTAGTCTATTTGGCATCAAGAGAGGGGGTCTCATGGGAGTTGGCACTGAGTGCTTCTGTCTGAACGATGTGCCACCTGCAGCACCCACCAGCGGCTTTATCTTTGGGGGGTGAATTGGTAGTGTAGGCACTGGCGGAGGCCGCTCGATTGGCTCTGACGGCCTGGTTTGGTTTCTGCATAGGTGCATAGGTGCGAGTTGGCTATTCTGCACAGAACTAAATAAAGGCACTGCAGTTGAAAAGAGTTCATAACTTTGTATCACTTTCTTTTCAACAAAAAATTAAAACTGCACGATTCATAAAAAACTTCAATCAAACACCCTGAAGCCAGTAGCATAAAACATAGCCAATAGACAGTTGGAAAAGTGTCGATGAATTTAGCAAAGCAGAAAAACTATTATAAACATTTAAGTTTCCAATTTCTGAAGAAACAATACACCACGTAAGTGTAAAGCTCTGTGAATTTGAAGACTCTTTTATGATTAACACCGACACTGAGAAATATTTTATTTTTTATTTTTAAATTTTTTATTTCGCCAGATCTCAATAAGAGCTCATTGACACTTAAAAATGAAACATCAATCGAAAAAAAATTGCTAAAACGATTATAAAGGTTTCAACCCAACTTCAAGTTCCAACGATATCAGGTTAACGGCAGGCACAATCAGGTTAACGGTGACAAAGTTAAACATAGCCAACTAACAGTTGGAAAAGAGCAATGAACGCAAGGAAACTGAAAAAAACTGACTTGTTTTATCAAGAGACTTCAACTTTTGCATTTCGAAATTAGACGGCCTTATAGTTCTTCGGATTTGTAGAAAAATTTATGATGGACACTTTTTTGTTAAAATCAACCCAATTTGAGAAGACTGGATCAATACGTACAACTTTTATTTCGCTGGGAAATCTAATAATTACTTTCCTTTTTTCGAAATCAGAAGTCGATCACGTTTTTCGTGACCTTTACACTTTTGCTCTTCGATAGGGGAGTTTGCCTTCCTTTCAACAATGGAAATGCACTGAACATTAAAAGAAATCACAAGTCAAACCGCGAAAAATCAAAACTGAGCAAGAACAAAACTGAGCAAGACTTTTTCCTGAAAAATAAACAAAAAAAATCAGCAAGATCTATATAAGAAAACTCACTACGTTCATTACTCTTAACAGCGCAAGTGAATCGCTATAGAACTATTTGTCTACTTTGAAAATGGTCCCATTCTACAATTTTTTCAAACCTCAAGCCAAACAGCATATTTAAACATTTTGATTACACGAAGGTTAAATGCATAAAATATAACCAACAGATAGCTAAAATAAGCGGTATCAATGAAAGCAAGAAAACTGAAAAAATAAAAAACGTTTTTCTAAAAAAATTTTACCAATTAAATTTAACAGAAAAAAATATATGGCCTTTGAATTTCACAAAAACTAAAAAAGTTTAAGAAAACTAGATTCATAGGTTATTTTTTTTCTTCTTCCGCCGCAAAATGTAAACATAGCCAGAATCAGAATGCAAAAAATAACACAACGGCGAAGCTGCGATTCGCACCATTTGCGATACAAAAACAGGAAGTCGTTTAGTCAGAAATTTCAAAAAAAATCGAAAATTTGGAAAAAAAACTAGATCTATCAAACTAAATCAAGCTAGTTTTCAAAACATAGCCAATTGAATATTAGAAAAGAGTAATGAACGTAACTAAACTTCAAAAAAACACTGACTTTGTTGAAAAAATCTCAACTTTCGAACCTCGAAGAAAAAAAACAGATGGCCTTAAAGCTCTTTGAATTTGTAGAACAATTTATGATGGACACTTTTTTGTTCAAATTAACCCAATTTGAGAAGCCTATTCGAAACAGAAAAAAATTCTCTTTATTGAAAAGATCAAAAGAACTAATTGAACAAGCATATGCATTATAATTAAACATATGCCGCCGCAAGTAAGCATATGCCACCGCATAATTGCATTTGAGTCACTTAAATAGCGTTCCCATTTAGTTGCTTTGCATATTTTACAGCACCTATATATTCTAGAACTAGAAGTTCAAAATCGAGCACACAGCAATTCTCTCTTTTAACGGACGCTATTTATCGAAGAGTAAGCACTGAGCAAAACTCACTAACTCAATCCCAACCTTTGGATAGCCATCGGAAAACAGTTCCGGGTTCATCCTTTCTAACCTCTAAAACAAAACAAATTAACTCAAGCCTTTATACCTGATAAAAATTAAATATTTTGTTTGATAACAAATCTAGATAAAAGAATGCTTTTTTCTAAGTAGAACGAACATCTTATTTACTAGCAGCGCTAGTCCCGCGTATTATACTGACGCTGGTATAATACTGACAGTTGGAAACGAGTTATGAACGCCAGGAAACATAAAAAAAGATGCCTAGTTTTTCGAAAAAAAACATCAAACTTTGATTTTTAAAGAGACAATATAAGCGCTTGAAGCTCTTTGCATTTCAGGAACAATTTACCATTGACACTTTTTGGATAAAATTACCCCAATTTGAAAAACCTGGATCGAAATATAAATTTGTAATTCCGCTGAGAAACCTGATAATTAAATTCCACTTTCGAAACTAAGTCAACCACGTTTTTCGCGACCTTTAAAGATTCGCAGTTCAAAAAAGGATTTTGCTTTCCTTTTAACAAAGGAAATGAGCTAAACTTAAAAAGAAATCAAACCGCAAAAGTCAAATTTTAGCGTGAACAACTTTAAAGACTTTTTCGTCAAAAAACACGAATAAAAAGCCAACTTCGAAACTAAAAGTAAATCCCGTTTTATTGCGAAATTTACATTTAGCAACTAATTTGAAAATGAACTTAGAAAATTATTTACAGGACAAAATGCGAAAAAAGAAACTTGAAAATACTTCTCGACTTTTTCCGGGAAAAAACAATTCAACTTAAATTAGTCAAAAATCAATACGTTCATTTACAAAAAAAAACAAGAATAGTCGGTTACTGTGCAAATAGCACAGACAGTTCCGACCACATCCATAATGAATTACAAAAAAAATATATTTTTTTCCTAATTGACGTCATTATTTGTGCAATGCGATAACTATACAAACGTGTAGAACGTTAGTGAATTAGACATAATCGACGAGTTGTTTTCGAATAATCGACAACAAACAAAAAACTGAAAAAATAATTCAGAATTTTTTGATACTGTTCATTGCTAAGGAAACGCTAATTAACCCGGATAAAAATTAAGTTTTCTCTGCTCAAATAAAAAATTCTTGGATAATTTCCACGGGTGTAAAGCAAACACTGGCTGGAGATTTCGCTTCACTTGCTCAAAATTTGACCAAAACTTCACACCGGTTTTTCTCGACACTCGGACAGCTTTTTCGAAAATTTATGTTGCAAACACGACTACAAGCGCTTCAATATGATATATCACTCGACCGATGATTATTAAAGTTAATCCCTGAAACACACCCGAATTCAAAAGTTTGTCCTCATTTTCAACAAACACAAGACTTTACAAATTGCACATAATATTAGTTAGGATAACAAGAATTTAAGTATGTACACTGTTGCCCATTACCAAGCGCACGCTTAAATTTCTTCTCTTATTTTAAACCATTTTTCTTTAAACTTTTCTTATTTTAAACCATATGACCCCGGCAAGAAAATATAGTTTAGTGGATTTACCCTCCCTTCCACGGTTACCAACTGGTCGCCGAAAAAGTGGTGACTTTATCAAAGTCTACCAAAATTATCACAAAATGAACAAAAAACAAATAGAACTAAAAAGACCCTGGTTTCGCTAAATTTTCTGCGCCGCAGGCAAAATTTTGAAAAAGCAGGCCAAAAAAAGCGTTTTTTCGGCGCGCGCTTCCCCCTCAAAACTAGTATAAATTGGCGCCGAACGCGCCTTTAGAAAAATTTTTGGGTCCGTCAGCCAAAAAAAGGATATCTCAAAATAGTTCAAAGGGGGACCTCAGGAGTTTTGATGTATTCTAGACTATAAATAAAAATATTGACCAGTAAAAAAGTAGAGCTTTTAGAGATGAAAAGTGACTGGTCACTATAATAGAGACCAGTTGAAGACCCTGCTCCCTTCAACTCGATCTGATAACATTTTGAGAGCGGGTAATTTTGCTTCCTATGCATTAACAGAACACAATAGCGCGTAAAATTAAAAATAACATAGCCAACTAACAGTTGGAAAAGAGTATTGAAAGCAAGGAAACTCAAAAAAAAACTGACTTGTTTTTTCAAGAGCCTTCAACTTTTGCATTTCAAAGAAAAAAAAGATGGCCTTAAAACAATTTAAGATGGACACTTTTTTGTTGAAACTAACCCAATTTGAGCAAAACTGTATCAATACGCAAAACTTTTATTGCGCTGAGAAACCAAATAATTACTTTCCATTTTTCGAAATCAGAAGTCGATCACGTCTTTCGTGACCTTTTCGCTTTTGTTCTTCGATAGGGGAGTTTGCCTTCCTTTCAACAATGGAAATGCACTGAACATTAAAAGAAATCACAAGTCAAACCGCGAAAAATCAAAACTGAGCGTGAACAAATTTCAAGACTTTATCCTAAAAAAAACAAAAAAATCAGCAAGATTTATATAAGAAAACTCACTATGTTCATAACTCTTAATAGCGCAAAGTGGAGCACTGTAGAACTAATTGTCTACCGTGAAAATGTTCCGATTCTGCAAATTTTTCAAAACTCAAACCGAAGAGCAAATTTTTAAACCATTCAAATACTTTGATTACACAAAGGTTGAATGCATCAAACAAAAGCAACAGATAGCTAAATGAGCTGAAAGAAGCGGTGTCAATGAAAGCAAGAAAACTGAAAAAATAAAAAAAATTGTTTTTCTAAAAAAATGTTACCAATTAGTTTTTACAGAAAAAAATATATGGCCTTTGAATTTCACGAAAACTAAAAACGTTTAAGAAAACTGGATTCAAAGGTTACTTTTTTCTATTTCGCTGCAAAATCCAAACATAGCCAGAATAAGATCGCAAAAAAGAACACAAAGGCGAAGCTGCGATTCGCACCACTTGCGCGATACAAAACCAAAAAGTCGTTTAGTCAGAAAACAATTTTTAAAAAATTTGAATATGTCGAAAAAAACTATATCAATCAAAATTAATCAAGCTAGTTTTGAAAACATAGCCAATCGAATATTGGAAAAGAGTAATGAAAGCAACTAAACTTAGAAAAACACTGACTTTGTTAAAAAAATCTCAACTTTCAGATTTCAAAGAAAAAATAGATGCCTTTAAGGCTCTTTGAATTCCTAGAGCAATTTATAATTGGCGCTTTTTTTATAACATGAACCCCACATGAGAAAAGTGGATCAATAGGTAAAAATTTTTTTACACTGGAAACCTAAAAAATAATATCCACTTTCGAAACTAAAAATCGTTCCCTTTTGTCGCGCCATTTCCACATTTGTATTTGGAGAGTGCTATTTACGTCACTCTCTGCAGATGAATTTCAATTGAACTCAAAAAGTACATATAAACCTAAGTGCATTCATAAATGCATCAATATGTATGAATGCACATCTGTAGTTATTAGAGACTTTTAAGACTTTTCCTCAAAAAAAACCAAACAAGAATTAAGACTAATATAAAATTAACAATGCCTTTTCACCCTCAAAATACACACACAAAAAAACTTTGTTGGCTCGTCAAATGAAACAATATGAGGCCACTAAGCCGATATAATATAAGCCGAAACCTATCAAGCCAAAAAAAATTAGAAAAAAAGCCGAAAAAATGTTGCCATGAAAAACGTGAGCTATTTTTTCTATAAAGATTTCAGCAATTTGTGCGATCCAGTGAACATGAACATTATGTTTACCTTAAAAGTACTAAAAATTATGTCACTAAGCCGATAAAATTTAAGCCGAAATCATTTGGCAGAAAAAAGTTTTTAAGCGAAAAAAAAACATGAAAGAAAAATATACAAAGTTAAAGATTACAAACAGCAGAAGTAAATCAAAACACTGACAGCAACCAAAAGGTAAATTGAGTGCAGCAAAAAAACATATACAATGTTGCAAATAAGCTGACAAAATAAAAGCAGACAATTAATAAGCATAATAAGCCGACAATCTGTTTTGAAATGGAATACTTCCCGTTTGAAAAGAAAAAACAGGCCATGCCAGTTTCGCACCCAGGAGCATTGCCGTCTCAGGCGTACTCGTTACCTCCAGGCCAAGTGTACCGGATCCGCAAAAAAATGAATTCAAAATAAACTGAACCTAAATGTACCATTTTTAATTTTGACCATTCTTTCATCGAAGTTTTTTACGAGAAAAAAGTCTTGTACCTGATTGCAAGGGTAATAGAAAAACCCAATCCCATAAGTTTCATAATACCTGTTTTTATCAAACTAGGAAAACATGTCAAGCAGGACCAAAACTTTAAAAAAGCAACGGACCCAAACTTACGATGCGGAAACAAAGCCGATATTCTTTGAGCAGACACAAGTTGATCCGAAAAAAGAATGATTTAGAAAATCTGTAAGAAGTTCAAAGTCCCACCAGACACAAAAATTTACAACATTTGCAACCACAAGGATACTTGCTTACAGCACAAGAAAAATCTGTAATGTGCCAACTAAGCCGACAAATTTGAGCAAATGAACGAAAGTCTTGAAAATCAAGGACATAAATACTAAAAAAAAAAAAAAGTCCGGCCGGAGTTCAAACCCCGGACCGTAGGGTGCAAAACCAACGGCGTTACCTCGAGGCCAAATGCGAAGAAACCTGGAAAACGTAAAATTCATTAAAAGCAAATGTAATGAAAAATCTAAAGAAAAAATCATTTTCGAAAACTTTTTCAAATCAGGCTAATTATTTGAAAAGAAGACAATTTGCCGCATTTCTTCGGAAACGTTAACTATCAGAATATCATTTTTGATTCATTGATAATAGAAACTCGATAAAGAGCTTTTTTGAACGAGGAACAATAAAAATCATTTTTGATTCATTTATAACAGAAACTCGATAAATAGCTTTTTTGAACGAGGAACAATAAAAACTTTAACATTTAGTGTGAAACAAAATCGTCAGCTGAAAGTTTACTAAATAAATGAATACTACACTAATTTTGTTGACGTTGAAGATTTTTAGAAACTTTTCACATTTTGAGACAATGTCAGGTATGCGTATGTTGACACCATGTAAAAACGACCACGAAATTTTAAGCAACAGAAGACCAGGAAATGCTTGGTTCTAATATACACCAAGAATTCTTTGAGCTGTGGAACTTTTCAATTTTAACAAAAAAATTAGCGTTTTTTTCGCGTAACTTCAAGCAAAAGCATCTGCAACACTTCACTATTCAAACTATCTCACAAACAGATTAGAAATTTTCAGCAAAATTTTATGTGAAGTTTAAATCACATTCGGAAATTTTAACTGCTACAAACAGCTTCGAAAAATTATTTGAATTGAAATACAGAATGGCTCTCCAGAAAACTAAACGTTTTGTTACAAAAATTTTAATTTTTTTCATCAAGATGAATCAAAAAGCTAATTTAAGGAGTTGAGCAGGAAAACTAAACCGACAAATAGTGTTTACTACAAAAAAGAACCCGACTAAATCCGAAAAAAAAAAACGAAAACATTGAATGAAAAAAAAATACAAAACATTGAAAGAATCACACTAAATCTGAATAGATATACTATTGACCAGTTGTAGTCTATATTGCTGATCAAGTAGAGTCCGCATTTAAATTATCCGGAAAAAACGCTCAGAAATTGAAATTTAAACAGGCGAAACTGCGCTTCGCAAACACTAGCGAGAACACGACAAAAAGCCGCTCTAGAAGAGAAAGTAAAATTAAGCCTCAAATTAGTAAAATTCGGCAACGTCTCGGATTGGAACCTACGAGCTACAAATTATGAAACTCACGCACTAGCCACTCAGTCAAGGACGCTCAGTCCATCACAAATACTAGCCACAAACAAAGTCGAGAAGAGATGCTATGAAGTTTCCAATGCAACAAATCGTGATTATAGCAAAAGGCACACAAGTGAACATTTTTATTAGCGAGTTGAATTAGAAAAAAAGGAAATTTCATACTAAAACACAAGCTGCTCGCCAGCGTAAAAACGCTCTTTTTCTCAATTTGGGTTAACTTTAACGGAAAAATGATGGGAAAAATTTTGCTTGGAAAATTAGCAGACTTAATACGGTGCAATTTAGTAAACAAAACTGGGGCACTTTAAAACGCTGCACTTTAGTTAACAAAAATTCTACCCAAAAACGGCTCACTGTTGGCTTTTTTCTCAAACAAAAATTATTACAAAACTACCGAGTCAATTATTGTAGTCAAGTACCAAGCCAAAACTGACAATCCAATTACTCTCCAAGGTATTGCGCAAAATTATTTTTTAATAAAAACTTTGACATAATTTTGTCAGTAATTGACATGTAGTTTTGCCGTAAACTTTCAAGCTTTTTGCAAAACCCACATCGCAAGCACAAGCGACAAAAAAGAGCTCTTTAAATGCAAAAAAAAACTCTAAAACAAATACAAAAATGGGCCTAGAATTTGGCCTTGAAAAGATCAAATAGGCCTTGAAAGAAAAAGTCAAACCACGGGCTATGTACCACATACCTCCTGATTAACAATCACTAAAATTGAATAGTAAGCCATGCAATCTGCTTGCACCATGAATAAAGTGCTGATTTAAATTAACCGCATTAAAATGTTTTGCGCATTTTTTGGAGATTTTTTTAGAGATTCTTGGGCTATGTAAGAGACTCACCTAGACACAATTATGTCAATCATCGACTAAGTAGTTATGGCGTAGTTTTTTATTGACTAAAAAACCCACAAAATATTCATTTTTGGGTAAAATTTTGGGTCCGAATTTCCCAAAAACAAATTGAACCATATTAACTCTGGTGAAATTTTAAGCAACATTGGTTTTCATCATTTTTCACCTAAAATCAGCCCAATTTGAGAAAACGTGTTTTAAATTTCAAGCTCACTGCGTTTTGTCCGGGTAATTTAAACCAGCACTGTATAGTTACGGCGCAAGTTAAATTCAACCGAGATCATTGACACGACGTTCAAAATTAAATTATTACCACTAACAGCTTTTTTTTTTGCTTTGGCAGAACAGCTTTTTCTGTGTCATCTTCTGGTGCAGAAAATTTGACTCTCTCGGCTCGGCTGCCGACATAGCAGTCTTTCTGACCCATTCCCACCATTACACCTAAAAGAGCTATGATTTAACGGCGATAGACTGAGATTAGAATAGAATTTATTTTCTACGCCACCCAGCTTGAGGTAGTGACTTATGTATCAGCCGTATTAGTCAAACAATATCTGGTGATTCGAACAAGGTCCGCTGTCGACCCTGCACACATTTCAAAAATCTTGTCGACCTTGTTTTTTATACATTTTATGTTATAACACAGAGGCGAAGCTGCTCCTGCCAAACAAGCGAGAAAACGGCAAAAAAAACAGTCCTAAAAGAAGTTAAAAAATGAAAGAACAAAAGAAAAGGTAATAATTTTAAGCACACTGATATGTTATGAACTCCTGACCTCGATATTGAGAATTTCACGTACTAGCATCAATGCCATGGCCTCTCAATAAGCATCAAACACACGCCAACAAAAAGATATAATGCTCATGAAGCACAAAATAAATGAGCATTTTCATTCGACTTGGGTTGCAAAAAATTGGAGTTCCTAATGATATTATGCTCGGCTTGTTTAAACATATACCAAGGTCGACCAAATTCATGAAAGTCGCACAGATTCGACAGCGGAGGTTGTAAGAAGCACAAACTCGACAGGCAGACAATAACAAAACACTCATATGGCTGATAAATAAATCGATCAACAGAAGAGACCATAAGAACCCATATTTTCTACAATTTTTTTCACCGTTCTCTTTGGTTTTTTTTTGTATACAAATAATGAAATTTTTGCAAAAAATCGATTGTTGGAAGATTTGGGTCATTTTTTGGTTGTGCGAATTATTTTGGGCGTTATTATTTTTGCTTAAAAAGCGCTTTCTTACCATAAACAATTCAAATTATTTATGGCGGTGATTTATTTGATTTGTCTGAACAGAGGGTTAGCTTCAAAGCGAGGCCAGGTAATATAAAGGGAACAGGTAACGCCTAAGCAAAATACCCAACTTTTACTTGCTACCAACTTGAATGCTATTTTAATTTAACAATCATCGATCAAATTGATGAATTTCACTAACCTTGGTGACGGGGTCTTCCCACTAAGGACTTGAACTGGAGAGGGCTTTCGTCTATGCTGAGACCTGCCTTGACATAGAGTGAGCCGCAGTCCATCACTACTGCAGGAGCCACTTCCTCGTTATAAGCAGTCGGGTCTCCACCTAAAATCAGACAATGATTGTCATCTAATTAAAAGGGCGGCTCTGTTGATCAGAATCGAAGCTAACTTTTGAATTCAGGAGATGCTGATGATTCTACGTTAACTTAAGATTCTAAAGGCTGAGCAAGATATTATTTAGCTGAGCATTTTCGCTGCACTAACTCTTTGGTAAATTTCAGAAAGAAGAAAAATTACGAAAGATAGCCAACAGACAGTTGGAAAAGAGACACTGAACTTAAAAAACAGAAAAAAAAAACGGACTTGTTTTTTTTCGGAAAAAATTCAACTTTTAAAATTCGAAGAAAGATAGCCAACAGACAGTTGGAAAAGAGAATGAACAGAAAGAATATTGACTTACTTTTTGAAAAAATCTCAAATTTCGAATTTCGGAAAAAAGCAGATGGCCTTAAGGCTCTTTGAATTTCTAGAACAACAAATGGTAATATTTTTTGATAAAATACCCAATTCGAGAAAACTGGATCAATAAATAAATTCTTTATTTTGCTCGAAAATCAGAAATCTACATAAGTGGACAACATTAAGTGCGAATTTAGCTTTTTTACTCTTTTCAATTCCTGTGTTCAAGGATGATTACGGATAAAATGTACTTTGAATTTGAATAAAATTTCAACATCGACGAGACCAAATATTCTCAGCTACCCTCTATGAAGGCGTCAAAATCTAGCTTCAACAATTTAAGTAGTATTGTATTGTGTCCCGGATCCTAAGGGGGGGGGGGGTCCTCACGCAAAGCAAAATCCTAGCAAAGGGGTCCTTAATTTTTTGGAGGACCATCATCCTAGGATTTTGTTAACGAAAGAAAATTTCCATCCAAAAAGCAGAAGACCCCCTACTTAGGATCTTGCTAAGCTTAGCTTAGCAACAAGGGACACGATACAAAATTCTTTCTAATTCCAATTTTTGGGGTCCTAATTATTGGTCTTGGTTAATTATATGAATCATATTAATTGTTATATTTGTTTCGGGTTAGTGAACTTTCGACCTAGTTAAATTTGTTAGTGAACGGAGAATTGACTTTTATGGTATATAATAAAAATTCGCCGGCGATTTTGGCAGCGTAGCCTAACTGTTGGCAGCAGTAGGCTAAATCCTCAACTTGACCTATATTTTATGGTGAAAAGGCAGTAAATTGAAATTACTCTCCAAAGGCAGCGGTCGTTTCTGGGCAAAATATACCAAATGATAAATTTGTCAAATTTTGAAATAAGAAAAATGAAGCTAGAGGGAACTTGGTGTACTGAAGATATTGATAATGAACAATTACAATTAAGAGTATTTTCAACCACAGAAAAAAAGCATTTTTCAAATTCGGTAATGAACGATACGTCGTGTTTTTCGAAAGGGCAAGGGAAATTTCAAGAAAGAATACGAGTTAATTTTCAAAGAACAATTTTTTTTGAGTGAGCTTCAACAAATCTCTTGGTGCATTTCTACAAAGCAAAAGCATGCTACTGTGAGCGATTTGAATATAGTTGATTATGAAAAAGTATTCGACTATTCGTTTGATTTTAACTAAATATGGGTTGATAAAGACTTGGAGAAAAAAATCGGTTTATGTTTCAACAAGCAATCAAAATACAAAAAACTTCCGGTGATTTATTTAATTATATACCACCATATCTTAATGAGTATAAATGGTATCTGCAAGGTGACGTTTATTTCCATTGGCTTGAAGTTCAGCAAATTGGAGAGGTGTTGGAAAAAATAAACAATGAAATTGCAAAACAGCAGAGTAACTCCTATTGATTTGAAAACAAGTCACGAAATTTATACGTCTTTGAAACAAACTTATCCTGATAATTCTAACCGACAAAACTAATTTCTAGCTGCATGTTCTCAAATTTTTGTTTGTTCTGATAATCTTAACCCAGACACTTTAATTAAGTTGAGACCTTATGGTGGCTTGATTGGTATTGATAACTCTTCCTTGGACAAATACTTGAAAAACTCCAAAATTTAACGATTGCAAGCTGTTTTGCGTGATGCAGTCGGATTTATACACAAGTTTTACCAACAGGCTCCCACGTACGGTTACATGTTGCCCTGGAACTGTAACAACAGCTTATTAGGACATTGGAGTGGAATAGCGTTCTGCCTTTTCGTTAAGTTGAAAAAACCAGAAGTTTATCATTTACTAAAATGCTAAGCGAGAGATCAGTTGTGCTTGACGCGGAAGGCTTTCGTTACAAGAAAAACGCCTTTGAGGTTAAAGAATTAGCAATAACAACTTCAGACTACAGCGACCGACTCATTTTTTTACCTCCAGTGAACTTCAATATATTACCGAAGCTCGAACACAAAAGCTTACAACTGGTTAACAAAATGTTTACACGATCTCCATTTGGAAAACGGTGATAACCTTTACATAAACTTGAATCAACTACTTCAGAGCTTTGTGTTGAGAAATCCAGGTGCCGTTTTTTACGCTAAAGGAAAAGAAAAGACAGAATTTTTGGCCAAGTACTTGGACCGAAAGGTTGAAAACCTAGATGATTTGGGCTGTCCTAGGGTTGAAAACTTATTTTCCAATAATTATCCAACTTTCAATAGACATATACCTCATTAAAACTCCAGGAATCATTGTGCCCTGAAGAAAAGCAAGGTTTTTCATGATTGGTTGAGAAATGAACAACAGCGAGAGATCAGCGAAAGTTCAGAAATACCTACCACCAAATTCAATGCTTTGTGCGTGGATGACTCCAGAGGATGATAATGAAATTTCGTTAACAAGAATAGAGCGTATTGATTGCAGCGGCTAAACTGTTCAGAGGAAAAAGCAAATAATAATTTCCGAAGAAGAGTTGTCTACATTAAAGAGATTTTTTCCTGTTATTGATCAATTTGTATACTTCCAGAGATTCAAATTTATCAGAAATGTTAGCCAGCAAGCGAGGAGTATATCTTCCCGAGCTAGTCTTAGTACCTAAGCGTCAGCCAGGAGTTCAGATGGATCTAAACAGCAGTGAATTGCCAGATGAGATTACGAGGATAGTGAAAGAGGATACTATGAAGAAAACAATGTACTATGAAAAAACTGCAAATGTCCCAGCAAACTATGTTCTAGAAATGCATGACAAAAATGATAGAGACTTCACACGTTATGAAAATTTGTACTGTTCATAATACTAATTCAGTTTATTGTTTTTTTTTGCAAGCTTCATTTACAGTGAGAAAAAGTCTAACACAGTCTGTAGAATAAACCAGATCTCAAGTAACAGAAACAGCAGCAGCAGTAGATGAACCTGACGCGACATTAGTAACATAGTTTCTTTATAACGAGACAAACGGTGAAAAAAAAATCATAAAAATTTTGTAACAATGTAACTTTGCCAAGGTCTGAAGTAGTTTTTGTTGCGCAAATGGTAGTAATTCTAATTTTACTAACTTTCTGCATTCTCAAACTTTCTGTCACGAAATTGCGAAGAAACTTCAGTTTGGTTTTCGATTTTATCCGGCTTGGTTGGTTACGTATTACCAAATCCGAGGATATGAACAAACTGATTTCAAACTTTTGATGGGAAATACTTTTTACTCTAAACTTGGAACCGTTCTATATCTTTACAAAGAGATGCAACCTGCAATCTCAGAAAAAGTGTCTTCTCGCGAAGTAAAAGAGAAGTTCATGAAATTCAACGGATTCGGATCTTTAAGAAACTTAGAAACTGTTCTTCTAGTTTTCGATGATTCATGTGAAGACATCTATAATGTCAAGGAATTTGTTAGATTAGCGACAGCGGGTAGACATAGAGGGTTAAATGTAATATATGTTAAGCATAACTTGTTTCAACAAAGTCGATGGTCGCGTACGATTGATTTGAACACTTCACACATCATTCTGTTCGAATCGCCTCGTGTCGTTCAGCAACTAGATCTTTTAGGAAGACAATTGAATGTATCAAAACTTTTGAGAAGCTGTTACGAATTAGCTACCATAGACTCTTTTGGACATCTTCTAATCGACTTGGACCCCCGCACATCAGATTGTTTGAGATATTGTTCAAATATCACACGGCCTGGGCCAACAATTTTTTATTTACCCTTATCTAAAGCAGAAACTACTCCAATCACAAATTAAAAAGAAAAACGTATCTATTCTGCGGCATATGGTACAACTGACACCTGAACAACTAAGACAATTAATTGGAAAAACTTCAATCGCGAGGTCATAACACTTAACTGTTAATGTTTGCTCAATGTAGTCAATGGAAACGTACCCGTTAAAACGCAAATATTGAACGATTCGAGATAGCGTACAAATATTTAATCACTCCCAAAACCAGTGTTGTCAAAAAACGTGCGATTATTTTGAGTGAAAAAGGTTTCCATTTAGCGCTACAAAAACATTATTTTTGTTACAAGTACCTCTCAATTTAATTATGACTGCTGAAGAATTCATTCTAATTCCGAAACACTTATATGTTAAAGAGCAGCCACATGCTGCACGTGTTCTTCACGATAATAGTAATAAACATTAAAACGCTCAAATATCCTACCTTAACCCGCTTAGACTCCAAATACCTCCTCAAACTACAAAGACTACTGCAACCAAGAAACATTAGCAGAAAATGCTGCTGAGCTCCAACAAGAACAGCTTGAACTGTTAACGGACGATGGAGAAGTAACGGTTGAACGTGATAAAGATGAAATATTAGAAAATAAAAAAGATAGGCAGACCGAAAATATTTTGGGACAGTTACAGGTTTTAGAGGACAAAAAATTTATTAGAGCAAAAACTATACTTGAAATCATAAAAAATTCGGAAAGAGTAACCATAAACCGTAACAATGAAGTGATATATGCGGATAAAAAACCAACAGGACTTGAAGCTACAGTATTTTTATACGACATACAACAACCAACAAAAAATTACACAATCCAGCGTTCATTATCATTTTAACTGCACTCAACTTGAATGAAAAGCTGGTATTTAATCGAAATGCCAAACACGCGGTTCAGACAGCGTTTTTCAACGCTCAAGAA